GGCAGTTCGGCTGCTGCTGAAATCCTGCTTACAGTAATGAATTTCAATGCCACTTGCCAGCCTAGGAGTGTTTGAGGGAGATAAAAGTCGAGCTTGTGTGCTGTGCCTCTGACCTGGTTTTCAGTTGTAGACACCTTTGTGGTGTGGTTGCAGAAAGTTTGGCTTTCCAGATGTGAGCATGAGGGCTTCGTGTTCTGGCCTGTAGTTTTTATTGCTGTCTGCTTTAAGGCAGATTTTTGGAGGGGGGTTGTGGGAGGGTTTCACTTGCTTTATAAGGTTTGCTGGAGTCTGCATGCTGATGAGCTGCCAATTTGCGTTCTGCACCTTCGCAGCCATCACCTGCCCACAGCAGCACCATTACCCTACTTCCTGGGTTTTCTGCTCTATTTTCTACCTGCAGCGGCTATTTTTTTTTTTTTTCCTTTAGAGCCTGGGGAATTCTCTTGCTCTCGCTGACTTTTTGCTTCATTCAAGCAACAAGCCATCTGTCCATTTCAGTCAGGGAGCTTGGATGTCAAAGTCACAGGCACCTGCCCGATTTCATGAGGAATCATCATGGGAGGAGGGGTGGTATGCACCAAAGGAAGACCCTGGGGCCCTCTTGATACCCCACCATCTAAACAAGTGCTTCCTAGGCAGCTGTGCAGTAAAGAGTAAAGAGTGCAATGTGCAGTAAAGAGAAGAATGCTTTGGCTCCTAGCTCCAAGGCTTTTTATACGCTTTGTTAGGTGGGGCAAATTGCTTCCCTAGGCTGCTACAAGGACTAAGTGCCAGGATATATGCTAAGTGTTTTAGCATGTAGCAACAACTTTGGAGTCAGTGACCATGACTCGGCTCTACCACTTATTAGCCATATGCCCTGGGCATGTCCCTAGCCTTGCTCAAGCTTCTGGTTCCTTATGGGTAGACTGGGGCAATGACAGGACTTACCTTGTGAGGTTGTGAGGATTAAGATAATGATAATAAGTCCCATTTTGCTGATCGCTTACCCTGTCAGTACCTACATGTTCTGTAAGAATTAGCATATATATTTATGGTCTGATAATGAATCTATTATGCACATAGAGACACTAAAAACTAGTTGGTCTCTGCATAGTTTCTTATATGTATAAAATTGCATAGTTCTATTATTAAATATATGTGTGTATGTCCATATACTATATATACTATATCTTTTAACAGTCTGGTTCTGTTGCTCAGGCTGGAGTGTAGTGGTGCAATTACAGCTCACTGCAACCTTGCACTCCCAGGCTCAAAAGATCCTCTTACCTCAGCCTCCCTAGTAGCTGGCACCACAGGGGTGCACCACCACACATGGCTCATCTTTAAATCTTTTGTGGAAACAGGGTCTCCCTATGTTGCCCACACTGGTCTTGAACTCCCAGGCTCAAGTGATCCTCCAGCCTCTGCATGCCTCCCCCTGCCTCCCAAAGTGCTGGGATTATAGGCGTGAGCCACCATGCCCGGCCAAAATGTGTATATTATTTGATCTTTAAAATATTTGAATGCATATGAATATATGTACATTGTACAGATAGATATGTGATTTATTAGATAAAATGCTTTGTTAGGCTAAGTGTTTTGTGTGTTTTAATGTATCTCATTATAAGAACCCTTTAAGGTAATGGTGCAATTATCCCCAATTCATGGGTGAGGTAACTGAAAGAGGTTAGGAGAGGTTCTAAATGCCTTCTGTATGAACTTAGACACTTGTGTAAACACACAGATTACATATTTTGGAGAGTGGCAATGTATTAAATTTTATCTATTGTTAATAGATGTTATAATACTTGGTCCTTTTAGAAAATGACACTACTACTTTTAAATCCTCTATATTCACAATGCCACCTTACTACTGAGAATATTACCCCTTTGAGATAGTTGGCAAATTCCCTTCTTCAGGCCAGATACCTGTGATCCAATCAGCCTTTACTGGCCACAGAGGCTTCACTTTCCGCCGCCCTCACCCCCCACCCCCCAGGTCTTCCAGGAGGGCAACCGGTGCACAGCATGTAAGTCTAGACCCTTCAAAAGGGCCAAGGTTCAACCCCAAATCTACCTCCCTTTTTAAACTGCAGAGAGCAGCAATGAGATGCCCTGGCTTTACCCATGGGTCAAAGGATTCGGTTTTATGCTCTGAGATGAACTGGTTCTTGGTCCAATATCAAGCATCAGGTTCAGTGCTGAGCAGTTGTACAATAAGCATTTTGGACCCTTCAGAAAAGGACTGCAGCTTGTGAGTTTACATGCAAATCTAATATATTCATGTATACACATACATGTATTATCCAGCATGAAGAAAAAACATGAACTCCCTCCCCCACCAAAAAGGCTTTGTAAGTTTTCCAACAAAAGATTATTTTGAGAACATTCAGTCTCAGGTATTCACTGGTTTAACAAAAACCTTTCTCATGACACCCTGTGATTGACAATATGCTTTTGATGTATAGGTACATGTAGGTATGTGCTTGTGGATGGATGCACAGAGATCCCATGTACACATGTACATACGTGCACACATATTTTTCAGCTCTCGCAATGGTGTATCCTCTCTGGAGGAAGAACTAAGCATGAACACAATCACAAAAATCACTGGACGATGGTACCTCCCAGGTGATGATGGTTTTAACCTCACGAGTGCTGAAAGCAGAGGGGTCTAGGAATCTGCTTTTTAAAGCTCACCAGGTTCTAAGAAGGTCTGTAGCACATAGGTTGGATGGACACTCTCAGCAGTAACAAAGCTTTCGCTTGTGTGCACGTGTGTGTATACGTGAGAGGAGTGCTCACGAAAACTGCATTTCCTTCCAAAATGGCTACTTCCCAGGAAGTAGAAAGAGGCTTCAGAAGACATAAGTAGTAAAAGTTGTCAGGATGTTGAGTGGGAACTTAGATAGTGGTCCAAACTAAACTGTATCTGTAATATTTTTGTTAAGATGGAGAAGATTTTACTGTTCAACATCTTGCTTTAAGAAATAAATAGTTGGCCAGGCACGGTGGCTCGTGCCTGTCATCCCAGCACTTTGGGGAGGCCAAGGTGGGTGGATTACCCTGAGGGCCAGGAGTTTGAGAACCAGGCTGGCCAACATGGTGAAACCCCATCTCTACTAAAAATGCAAAAAAATAGCTGGATGTGGTAGCAACTGTCTGTAGTCGCAGCTAGTAGTGGGACTGAGGCAGGAGAATCGCTTGAACCTGGTAGGCAGAGGTAGCAGTGGGCCGAGATCATGCCACTGCACTCCAGCCTCGGTGACAGAGTGAGACTCCACCTCAAAGAAAAAGCCAGTGGAATGAAGCAATGGCTACCCCTCAGGCATTGTCCATAGAAAATGCCAGCCAGCCTCTATTTCTGCACGAAGCATATGCATGGCATATGGGCTTCCTTTGGGCTTATTTTCTCACCTCTGCCCACACTCTAGGGGGGAGGACAAGAGTGGGATGGCAAGAATCTGCATCCACTGGCCAGGTCTCTCAAACTCGTTCGCTTCTGCCATCAGTTTTTAAATTTCACATAAAACTTAGATGCTTATCTCTATTTTAGATAAGAGCCTGCTTTTGGAGATTCTAATGTAAACTGTATCTGTCATCACCTCTTATATCCTCCTATTTAGTGGGGAAGTGCTCAGGTATAAACCAGTATTTTAGGAAACCCTTATCTCCCTCCCTGTGAGGATAAAGCTAGTGACTTGTTTTAATTAGGATATCCATACATATTGTGTAAGGAGAGCACAAGCATCCCAAGTTTAACATCACCACCATTACCACCATCACCATGGATAATAAAGTGGGCATAGACTTCGGGGTCAGACAGTTCATGTTGTGCCTCTTGCAACACTGGTTAGATACAGCTTTGGGCAAATCACACGACCTATCGGATCCTTCCTGTCCTCATAAAGTAAGGGGAACACTATCCTGAAGGATCAATTGACATAGGCCAATACAAGTTGATTTATAACCTGCATGATCTTCATATATAAGGAGTTTACAGAGAAGGGATGATGACTTATACTGAAATAAGATGTATGCTGTTAAGACAACCTGCAGTGTGGAAGAATAATTGGAGAACAAAGAGCCTGCAGGTGGCACACAGGGTTAAACTCATGTATAAAGTTCTCATTGGTCAGGTGAGAACATGCCTCGTCAGTTAAGGGTGTACATTCTGGAATCCTAGGGTGAGCACCTGCTTGCTGTGTGACCTTGGAGAAATTAATCTGTTTACTTCACCTGTGGATAATAGCGTGCAGTTGAAGTACTGCTGCAAGCACTTTACAGAGATTGCTTTCTTCTGCATAACAATATTAGGTCAGTGCGATTATCATCCTGAGGTGTAGGTAAGGAAACTGAGGCACACTGCTTTGGTTTAATTCATCCTGGATTGCCACCAGCAAGTGACAGAATCAGGGTGTACACTCAATGCTTCTAGAACGCACATTTGAAAAACCTTTGTGTTACCACCTTATTAAGAATATTAAGATAAAATGAGAGAAGATTAAGATACTAAGTAACTAAATGGGGTGGACAGTTCAACTCTGATAAGATTTTTAAATAAGGAACACATGACTTTTGGCTCGTAATGGGCACTCCATGTATGTGAACTCTATCAGTTGCTATATTTTTTTCATCTTATCCAAGGTCTCCCAAAAAGTCGTTAATAGCTCGAACATATTTGAGATGAGTGATGTATCTCGTTTTAAACCGAAGACTTGACACTTCCATGCTGGGAGACGGCTAAGCTTAGTTCACTTTCTTAAACAGCTGGGGTGAGTTCCACTGACTTCTTTGGAAAAATGGGTGAGGAAGGGAAGCACTTAGAACCAGAAAACCAGGGCACTTGCCAGAGGCATCTGGTCTACTGGCAGCCAGGGCAGCCTGCTGCTCACTTAAGCAATACCCAACCCCCCTACCCCATCTCCGGGTGGGCCCAAGTGCAGTCACACCTGTGGACAATGAATCCACCCACTGAGAGAACTCATAGAAGCCAAAGAAGTCAGAACACCAACTTGTACCTTTTCAGACTAAGCTTTTATTTTTTTGATATTACAAACCATTTTTCTTTATTCACAAACCACTGTAAGTGATATAAACACTAATTTCTAAAGACAGATATACACATTTTCTGGGTTTGCAGATTGCGTGATGTGTGTTTTAAGAAGTCACTATATGCCACACATAATAGTAATTTTCCATAATTCATAATAGCAATAGTTATTTAGATAAATGAAAACATTCCAAATAAATACTGTTTAAAAAAAATCCAAAATGTTTGTTTACATCTCTGACATACATTTTTAAAATGACTTATCGGCATCTTGGAGTGCCTAGACAAAAGATTCTGCAACATCAGTTGGCACCCACTTACTCTAAATGATTTTATTAAAACTACATACAGTCATGGGGGAAAGTACAGCTCATTGATGAAAATCAAAACCGCAAATGAATTTTACTTTAACCAACACAGTAAGAATTCTATGTTTGTGATTCGAAACACAATACAAATTCTGGATTTTGACATCTGAGGCAATTGGGAGAAATCTATTCTCCATAGCCCCCCTGCTTCCTACTCTTTCTTCCCTTCAGAGGATGCCATCGTATTTTAATAACTCGTTTCCTTTAAGAACATCAACCAGGCACCCATTGCCATAACACTATTTTCCAGGGGGGGGAATGAGAATGTCTCAGTGATGCTATAAAACACCCCCTTGCCCCTCCCCTCACCCACCCAAAGAAGTGTGTTGAAAAGAACACTTCGTATGCTTTTGGCTGATAAACCTTCCCCTCCCCCTTTTCTCTTTCCAAGATCACTATCTGTCTTAGATATCGAAGCTAAAGAAACTTTGTTTTCAAATCTTGTGAAACTTTATTGATGGTTTAATATCCAACTGATCTTACGGCATGCACATAGGATGGCAAGAGAAAGCTGGATCACACTTTTTTTTTTTTTTAAGTTTTGTTTGGTTTTGTTTTAAAGCAGAGTTGTTACAGCGGATTGGCAGGTTCACAGCGGTGAGTTGATAACTTACTGAAGTGCGTGCCACAGGGCCTGCACTGTACACATGAGGACTTAACCTATGGCAGCAAAACTACTCAGGGACAGCCTGCTGCTGTTTTCATTTAAATACAAAAACAGGAAGACCCGTGACAGATACCCCAACTTAGGTTAACTTGTAAACAAGACAACGTGGAAAGCTCAAACAGAAGTACAGACAAACTGCAATTTTTCGCCTGTGTCACTCTGGCCCTGCATCCAAGAAAGGGGGGGGAGACTTTGTTCTTTTGGGATGAAGAGGATGGATCTACTTTGTTGTTGTTTTTTGCATCCTTCTGACAAGTGCCCTGGGCCATGGAGACAGAACTAAAGAGATCATTTGGAGATAATCCTTGGGTATGGGAAAGAGGTGGAAGGGCAGGATCTCACGGACTGAAAAATTGCAGATTGCTCACACAACGCAGTCACGTTTCAAAAAGTACCAAGCTGATGAAAATACCATGATTATCTCTACTCAATGATTGCAATACTTGTAAAATGCTTCTATAAATCCGAATATGATTATCATGTAATTCCATAAAAATTATACGTCTGTCTCTAACAGTTGTTCTACTAGGCTAAAACTAAAGCTTCATAGACTGTTTCTAGAACTTAACAACTCCACTGCACAGATGTAAATTTTATACATTTTTTAACTGGTACAAAGAATTTAAGTTATTACTTTCTTTTTTTGGAAAAAAAGAAAAAAATAGAAACAGTGCTTTTTATCACCTTTTTATTAATGTTATTTTTTCCCTCCCATAATATAAAAGTCAGCAATGATATCAATAATTTATTATACTGGAAGAAATATAAAAAGAATGTTTGTTGATGGCCTAACTAGCGGGGTTTTTTTCCCCCCCGTAAATAGCGAGTGGTTAAGAAGCTGAATACTGCCGGGTGGAATGGTTTAAAGGGTGGGTTTGCACAGCTTCATTCAACTCAGATGCACAAGTGCTACTAAAAGCACCCCCTTAACAACATAACCTTTGGCTTGAACTGGCAATGAGTAACTTAGAACCATGGATAAATGATTGTTGGTGCAGTGGGTCGTTTAGATTCATCAGTTACAATTTTTTTTTTTGTCTTTCAGCCAAACCCCAGTTCCAATCCCCTAAGCCCCTCCCAACCTCCCCTTTCACAAAATAAAATAATGCAGATGCAGAAAAAAATGACTACTGTAGTCACTTACACTCTTCCCAAACAGCTGATAACCCCAGTTAGCTTAATATTCAGCATATATAATTCATTTACATAATATAGCACTCTGGATATGGCCCTAAACCAGTTTTTATTCATATCTAGCATCTGTCTAGATCAACCACAAAAACTCCTACAGCCAGCAACCAAACTACGGAACCTTCAGAAATTAAAGACCCACAATATTAAAATACACAGAACAAAATATCTGAGGTATAAGATAAAAAATGTAATTTTTTTCCTTTTTATTTGTATTTTATTTTATTTTTTTTTTTTAGAGTTGCTAAAATGATGTACTACTGCATGTATTGCAATACTCAGGCCTCGGAAAGCTTCCTTTCTCCCCACATTGGAAGGTTTTTATGGTTTTGTCATTTAGTATGGAGCAAAACGGTTGTATCCCCCTCGGTATATACTAGCCTGCAATGAAGAAAGAACGAGACCCACATCATCAGCATGGCTCCTAGTCTTGGCATCAGTCAAAGGTGCAAAAGCATTCTGAAACAAAGCAATTTGAGGGGTGTGTTTTTTACATTTTCCTTTTGCAACATGTGGATCATCAAAAAGACTAATGTGAAAAATAGACACTCAAAACCAACCGAAATGGAGGCACCCCCTACCCATCCCAGGTCATTCTTGGAGAACTAAAGATAGGGCCATTCTTGACCCTCCCCAATAGCTCCTCCTAAAGAAATTCCCTGTAAAACCAAATTCTTTCAGCCCAGTCCTCTTAGCTAAAAGGACTCTTACAAGCTGGACAACTGAAGGATTTTCACTGTCTCATTTTTTTATTGGACTGGATTAAGCTTCCCCAAGGGAACAGAATAATCTACACTTGAGGCTGAATGTGAACAATTTACTGAATGTAATTCAACGCGTCAACACACTCCTCAAGTGGACGAGGTGTTGAAGCAGAGCTGTTGAATGCAGAATTGGGATGAAAATCTCAATCTACTTCTTGACTTGACTCTGCAAGCTGTATGGAATCTGATCTTCAGAAGGGAAGTTGTATAGATGAATTGCTTGATGTAATTAAGCTTGTGCAAAACAATGTTTCCAAATCATGGCTGAATTTCTACGACTGAGCATCAGTGAAGTGTCTGGCCATGGCTTTAATGGCTACAAGGTGGCACTTAACGATTTCCTTTTTCTAAAAGTATTGGCAATTCAAATGAATGCCTACGGGGATTCATTTTTAGGATAAGGACTGATATTCTTGATCCAAGCAGAAAAACTGCATGCCAAAGCTTTGTAATGATTGCATATGCTCTCACGTGATGGCCACGTCTTACTGTACTCAAGAGTTTCAGTGCATAGAAGTTTGAACAAGTACAGGCAAGTTCACCCCACCCTTACCTCCCATTTTTCACCCTCCCCCCACCCGCTCCCAAAACAAAAACCCAGACCTGCCCCAAAACAAAAGACAACCCCCAAACCCAGCTGATTCCTTCTACTTTCTTATTTACTAGGTACACAAAGTGTGCCCCTCTCTATTTTCTTTCCTGGGCGACTATGACTTTAAACATGAATTGTAATAGGGGAGGAGAGGCAGTCAGATTCTCAGCTGCCTGACAGCAGAGGCCTGGAAGTGTGCAGCTTAGCTCCTCTGAAGTCTGTGCTGGGGCTGGAACCTTGGGGCTATGTGAATGAGCAGCAAGGGAGGAAAAAAGAAAAAAAAAGTTCTGCATTGACACTGCATTCTGTTAGTGATGGATTTAATTATCAAAATGACTAATTATTCCATTAAGGTAAGTGCTCTGCTAGGTGAGACTTGCAAAATTAGAAATATAATAACTTACATGCACTACATTGCCAAGAAATAGACATTTATCAAGTTTACTGGGAGGATTAATGTGGCATTTTAGCTGCTGTTAGCACAAGAGACAAATTCAATTAAGGGGAAGTGAGAGGACGTCAACCCGTACTGAGGTCCCAGCTTGGGGGAAGGAAGGGGGGGACGCAAGAAGTTGAGGACAAGGAGAAACTGGTACTCACCATGGCACCAACGCCGTAGGTGGGGGCTGGAGCAAGTGCGTGGTGGTAGGGGTCGGCAGCATAAACTCGTCCGTAACTGAAAGGAAAATAGAGGTGAAGATTGATCCATAGTATACAATTACAAAATAACAATCATAAAATCCAAAATACCAAGACAGTATGGAGGGGTGTCCTACTCATCTTGGAGTAAGAAATTCTACTTTGCCATGTAATATGAGTTCATCTGTGCACAATGCATTTTTTGTGCATATAACATGGCTGATCATATTGCTATGTTTAACAGATAAATATATATACATACACACATACATATACATAATATATAATTTTTTCTGTCTCCCCACATAACATTGATTCTACACTGCTGAAGTAACTGCCTTAGAAATTGAGGTAGGCAAGAAAGTAACAACTTGAAGTATTAAGCCCAGCACCCCCACTGAGGGTGGTATGTTTATTCTCAAGAGTGCCTTTTTCCCCTGATTCAACTGTCACCATTATACGAAAGGGTGAAGTGAACCTGTCTGAAGTTAGTGTCCAGCATCTTACAATGGAAATGAACAAGTGTATTTGAATGGAAGCACCCTTTTGAAGGGTCTGTGGGACCCCTATTCCCGTTCAATCAGACTGATTTGGTTTTGATCCTATTTCAGAACTTCAGTCTTATTCATCGATGGCCAGGTTCTGGGAAAGGGAGAGAGGCATTTGAAACAACAAATCTTAATGACATTTATTCATCTTTGTGTTTTTCTGTTGCTACCATCCTACTCCTTGTCACGGCTTCTGGTATAGGCTTTAGAATAAAAATGGAGAAGAGATGGAAACCAAGTGTACTGAATGCCTGCTAAATATCTGGAAGTTTTTTTTTTTTAATAAAGGAATCGGATGTGAAGTCACTTGCTCAAGGTCACATAACTAGACAGCTAATTCTTGAATTTTTTTTTTGGTTGGGGGGGGGATAGGGGAGACAGTCTTGCTGTGTAGCCCAGGCTGGTTCAAAACTCCAGGGTTCAAGTAATCTACCTGCCTCAGCCTCCCAAAATGTTAGGATTGCAGGCATGAGCCACTACACCCAGCCTGATCCTTGAATCTCTTAAGGCAACTTCCATGCTTGTTCCACTGTATTCTCTGCCCATACTTGTTTGCCCTGCCAGATAAATGGTGCTATTTTAATACTGACTGAAGCTGAGGTCCGTTCCTTGAAAGCTGATTCTGGAATAGAGATTCCTGCGCAAGTGACTTATAGAAGGGGGTACCCTTAAGAGGAAGAGAGGGACAACTAGGTCAGAGCAAGGAAAAAAAAAGCAAGGTCTGAGATGAAGAATATCTGCCACCTGATCCTGTGAGTTTCTTGCTACAGCTGTTTCCACCTGGAGGCAAGCGGGTTGGCTTTTTAATGCCCACGTACGTTTTAACCATTAGCTGTGGGCTTTCCTGAGGAGTGAGTGATGCACCACTGAGTTTGATGCCCCACTGAGTTAAAGTGGCTTCCTCTGACATGGCACAATTTTCTGGAGAAGGGAGCAGCTGTACCTGTTGGCAACCAACATTCACAGCAGCTCAGGATGAATGCATCAGCCACTCAGTGGGATCTACATGGTTTTTTGACTTAGACCATTTCCTGAATGAAGGAACAAGGCTGGAAGAAATGGGTCTGTCTGCATTATCAACCTTAAACTCATCTCCCATCCCTTAGAGTCCAGTTTGCATGTACTTTTCCCCTCTCCTTTCCTGTTTTCCCCTATTTTCCTTCCAATCTTTCTCATAGTTGGTAGATAAGTCATACCAATCCAATACATGCTTGACCCCTCACACTGTGGAGTCTGGGAAGGTGAAGGAAACGGGATGATGGACCTTCTCAGACTCCAAGTTAGACCCTAGTAGGTGGAATAAAACAATTATACCACGTTTGCATGGGCATGTTCCAACTCTTAAGCCCATCTGCCTGTGTCAAAGGGCACTGAGTGTGCAAATAATCTAGATGAGGCTTTCAGCTTCAGGATTCTCCTGATCCTCAAACAATGACATGAAGGGACGCCTCTCTTCTGAGGCGAATAATGCACTTTTCATGTGGCAAAGCTATTTCATAAATAGGAGATAAACTGCAAAGGCAAACTGAAATCTTTGAGACTTTAAGTGATGTTATGGCATGGTGTTACTTCAAAACAAATGTGAAAAGATGCAAATTCAGATATTTCATTTTGAAAATGGGGGAAATGATTTTACTGTGGCAATAATTTCCTCTTCTAGGGAGACACTACATGGGCAGTTTGAAAGTATTTAATAAAAGTGTAGCTCTCACCTTTTTACTACTGCATACTTTAATGGTAAATTCTATAACACTGGGCATAGTTTCAACCTTGGTGGAAAACCCAAGGTAACAATTTGGCAGTATTTTCTTCCAAGGCAGAAGGAAAATACAGCAGCACTGAACTATTCCTCAGAAATGAGCTGACTTCTTTTCTCCTCAGGGTGACCTCTACCTTCAGAATCCAATGGTTTTATTATGATTAATAAATTTCATTTCCACAGAGGAAAAGAGACCATGTCAGCTCAAACTGAAAGCCAGGAGGCTCCTTTTCAAATGCTAATTTCTAAACACGCCCTTGTGTGACACTACAATTTAGACACAAGGTTATTAGGGAAGATGTGGACTTGAGTGCTATGTTTGCAGCAGATATGCCAAGCACGTCAGCAATCTGATACACACAGAGCTGGGTAAGCACAGCCCGGAGACAGAGCAAGGCAATGCCCAGGACATCTACAGGAATAATGGGAAGATGTCTTATGGTCGCCATGTTAGGACATGACCTGCAATATGGTCATCCTCCATACTATGCATCCCTGGCCAAAGTGGGCAGTACTGCAGTCAGATCATGATCTCCATGTCCCCACTTCCCATTCATCAGTAATTTCAGAAGAAATCTTAAATGTGTCCACGCACACGATGACTACACCAATATAAACCACTAGTAGTTCATCAAAACCAACTCAACAGCCTGAAATCTTGTCTTTGTTCAACCCTTGCTCCTTCAAACCAGCAGCTATTTACATGTATCAAATCTCTCAAGTCCATCTATCCACTTAAGTATAAATTTATATACATCTAAATCCTATCACTCCCTGCTTAAAACCTTCAATGGCTTTCCATTGACCCTAGAATAAAATCCAAACTTAAATAAGCTGCCTCTGTCCCTCTTTCAATCTTCATCTTCCTTCCCTTGGCCCTTGGTTACTGGTTACTGTGCTCCAGGCACACAGGATTTTTTTTTTTTTTTTTTTTGAGACGGAGTCTTGCTCTGTTGCCCAGGCTGGAGTGCAGTGGTGCAATCTCCACTCACTGCAAGCTCCACCTCCCAGGTTCACACTATTCTTCTGCCTTCAGCCTCCTGAGTAGCTGGGACAATAGGCACTTGCCACCATGCCTGGCTAATATTTTTTGTATTTTTAATAGAGATGGGGTTTCACCATGTTAGCCAGGATGGTCTCAATCTCCTGACCTGGTGATCCACCTGCCTCAGCCTCCCAAAGGGCTGGGATTACAGGCGTGTGAGCCACTGCACCCGGCCCACACAGCCTTTTTAACTCGTTTCTGTACACATGCAAATCCATTCTCTGCTGAGTCTTGGCACTTGCTCACCCTCCACCTGACTTTGAGCTTTTATGTTTCAAATCAAATCTCTCTTCCCTAGAGAGAAAGAGATGCTTCCTTCTCTGGCTCGCTGCCTTTTTCTTTTTCTTTTTTTTTTTTTTTTTTTTTCAGTCAGTCTTGCTCTCTTCCCCAGGCTGGATTGCAGTGGCACGATCTCAGCTCACTCTAACCTCTGCCTCCCAGGTTCAAGCAATTCTCCTGCCTCAGCCTCCCTAGTAGCTGGGATTGAAGGCACCCACTACCATGCCTGGCTAATTTTTATATTTTTCAGTAGAGAACAGTGTTTCACCACATAGGCCAGGCTGGTCTTGAACTCCTAACCTCAAGTGATTTGCCCACCTGGGCCTCCCAAAGTGCTAGGATTAGACGTGAGCTACCGCACCCAGCCTGACTGCTCTTCAAGGGCACTTTCCAACTTCATCCCTACCCATTCATGTCATATAGCAACTCTAATCTTAAATCCCGCCCCACCCGATCATTTACCTTTCACCCTCCTGGAATGAGAGCTCCATGCAGGCTGGGGCAGTGTCTATTTTGTCTGCCTTTACACATCCCCAGTGTCTAGCACAGCCCTTGCCACAGTGCAGGTAGAAAGGGGCAGGCCAATGGTACCGCAGGAGAGGAGGCAGCAAGACGAAGGAGTAAAGAGGGAAATGGGGCCTGGGAGATACTCATGCCAGTAATTACGATCCCACTAGTAGAATCTATCAGTAGAGTCTTTCAGATACACTTTTGGAAGATTCTGGGTCAACTGCTCCATGGCACATTCAGAACCCTTCAAGACAGAAGAAAAGTTTCTGGGGACTTCTAGAAATAGTGTATAATGTGTTTACATCGCTTCTGTGAGTTTGCAAAACACTGGCCAAGTTGCCCTAAAACTCATCAAAAGCCTTTGGGGGAAAAACTAAACAAAGATACCATAGAGGACTGCTTTCCTGGCGAACTCAAAATAGATTGCAACCATCATGAGACCTCATCTTTTTGACCTTTAGCAACAAGTGTTAAAACTGGGAAGCAACCAGAGACCTTGCAGATTCAGTACTTGGGGCAAGAAGATCCAGGTCTGAGTTCTACTTTGATGATGTCCTTGCTCTCATGACTTGACAGAGCATGCTCTCTGAGCCTTGTCTTCCTCATTTGTAAAGTAGTAATTTTCTGACTGAGCCCTGCCTAATTCAAGGTGCATTCAAGAAAACCAGGTAGATTTTAAGCCACGTACAGCTACAGGAGATCATCATGCATGGCTTCTTAGATGGTATTTCACAAACCAATTTCTCCCTCCTTGCCCAGACTTTTGGTCTGCAGAGGCAAGTGAAAGATTCTGTTCTAATATAATCACATGCAACTCTACCGATCAAATTACAGATGCTTTTGGAGTCAAGATCTAATTTATGAGTTACAGATGTCGTTTAAATAGATACTTACTT